TCCAACGACGTGCTACTAAGATGGTATCTGAACTTAAAGAGTTCACAAACAAACAGCGCTTGATTGCCTTAAATCCCCTTCCCCTTCATTATAGGCAAGATAGAGGTAACCTTATAGCAACTGATCTGGATGTCAAGTGGGACGATCTCCTTCAAACATAATTGCCAGTTGGAGAAGGAACTGAGCCTCACAAACCAACATTTAGCCTTCCTTTCTCTTAAAGAGTCGTTCGATAGTGGAACTCTTTGTCAGCATCTGATGTGCATTCCTCTACTGTGAGCGTGTTCAAGAGACGTCTGTATTATCACCTCTTAAAGGCTAACCCAAACATTCAAAACCTTTTTAAAATATTTCTTGCATTACAAAGCCACCTGTATCAATTTTTGGGCAAAAGTCGCTTGTGTAGGCCCACGTGAGTTTTGTTAACGGTAGTCTTCTGTCTTACGGGACTGGTGGGAAATGCGTGGGGAAATTAGTTGCAAAAAGTCGGTAAAAATAATTAAATGTGTTAATTGCGGGCGCTATATAGCGCCGGCATAGAGCGCGTAGAACAAAAATGTCATTTTTTAGCGGGATGCCCTATATCCAGCAAATTCACGGTAGTGAACTGTAAACGCAACCCAAACACCGAAATGTAAACAAGCGAAAGATTTGTAAAACAAAAGTTCATAAAAATTATGACAATGTCAAAATAAAAAAAAATTAAAGGAATATTTTACAGAAGACAAACATTACAGCGATTGGCGAAAATAAAGCCCTATTAAACAAAAGGAAGGCAGTGAATGCAACACACAAACATATTTACAAAACCCAAAATTCTTACCCCAAAAACTAATCCTAAAACTAACCCATATCACAACTCCTAGCCATAAACCCTAACCCTAAAACCTAACCACAAACTCTAACGCTAAACCCTTACCCTCAACCTAAACCCTACCCATAACCCTTACCCTAATCCTAGCCCTAACCATCACCCTAGCAGTGCAGTAAATGCGTCCTTAATAAAACCAGCGATAAATAAATAACGCAAACCAAAACTTCACATCTAAGGTATGTTTTTTTTTAATAGCAAGTGGAAAAGTTGCTTCTTTATTAGCGAGATAAGTGGGGTAAGTGTGATAGCAAGGCTGGATAGACGACGAATGGGAACGGTCGATTTAAATGAGTAGACGTAAATACGCCTACTGAAACGAATATAGTAGTTATTTTAGTGTGTCACTCGAAAATTGGCATACTCATGCAATGGTTACCAATTTTTGCATACACTACATTTTATGCATTCCTGTACCGTTTAAATGGGGTTCTTAAGGGCTTTTGTCATTTACTCCAAATAAAGTGACTGGCTGGCAGATTGACTGCCAATTCTCAGGATGTCTACCGTGTGCTTCACAGTTATCCCGTCATTTGGCCACCCCCCAAACCATACTGCTTAGCGCACAGTGATCGCCCTAAACACATCAGATTGTTTGTATTTAAGAAAATGCACTCAGGCGTCTCTAATTTCCTTCTCAGGCCACAGCCATTGTTCTAGTCGGTCATTTAACTGATATGAGGAATGGGGAGAGGTCATAACCGGTACTGCGTTACCTATGTCTCGACTGCTGGCTGATGTACAAACAACTCTGGAACTTATATTAACCAGTGAAAGAAGTGACATTAATCCTGTTAGGAGTCATCCTAAACGACTGCCAGACTAACCTTGTAGGCCGTCCAGACAAATCGCTCCTGTGGCCAACAGCAACCAATGATTCCCTGAGAGCGGTCTCATAGTGATGTGTCTGTGCTGGTGACTGTCCCCACTCGATGACCTTAAACCGCTCGACGGATATTCAGTCGCACACGCACGTAAGCACGCCACCATCCGGCCCCACAGCGGGTGACCTAAATACTCGACAGCCCTCGAGTAATCCAACGCACCAATCATGCAACACTTGAACTCGCCTCACAATCTCATCTCACGCAGGGATTTGATGATACTTCCAGACAGCCTCACACGTAACTAGACACAGTCCACACTAGCCCTGGCTTCGCCCGCGGCCACTGCCACCCAAGGCAGCAACCCCAGATTCCGTACACAATAAAACCTTCATTCGGGTGGCTTCCACTTTTACGCCGTTGGTGTTCATCCTTGGGGATTCAAAAAGGGCTTAACCAGACGGCGACATATCAACTTGCCACCGTTACAACCAGCCCAAAAGTAGTTTTCAAGTAGGAACGCGGTTTACCGTAGTGCTGCCGCTTTTCATGCTTTCCTTCCGCAGAGCTTCCTCCAGGTCGAGCATTGTTCCCGGAGGCGGTAGCTCCGGCATGATCATATCTTCATCCGACTCACAGCAGGGCGTCGTGCTGGGTGTGGATGGGTCATTCTCAGTCGTCCGACGTCGTGCCCTTACTGTCCTCAATTCTCCCTCCACTTCCTCCTCTT